GAATTGCATTCAGAAAAGCGCCACGGTCGAGCAGCCGACGCTGGGCCCTCTTCGCAGGCAGTCTCGCAGCCAGGCCGACTGCCTCTGCCGACAGCGACGCCTCGGCGAAATGCCGAGACCGACAGAGACGAGGCCTGCTGCGAGACGATGCGGCACATGCGGCGCGCGGCCGCACGCACGAAAAACACCGTTATCGGAACCCGAAGATACGAATGGCATGGCGAGGGAAATCGGGCATGGGGGACACGGGAGAAAGAGTAGGGGAGAGGAGCACGAGACAAGGGAAAGTGGGAGATGCGATCTGGGGCTTCGAGGCATCCGAGCACGCGCCCGCTGCCGCGCTGGAGGCTGCATGGATCGGGCCAAGCCCCAAGGCGGGCCCTCCAGACCGCAGAGGACCATGCGGGGGGCAGGGCGGCAATGGCGGCGCGCGCAGATTTCCATGTCCACTCGTCGGGCAACAGACGGGGGCGGGGTTCGAGGTGCTCGAGCACGCGCTGTTCTTTGCAGGTATCGAGCTGGGCCGCGCGCGCGAGCGTAGCAAACCGCCAGGAGAAACGACCCTGCCGACGCGGTTTATTACGCGGCGCCTCTCGGAAGTCTCCGGGCGGATCGCGAACGACCGGGAGCGCCATCGCCCCGGGAGACCTCGAACGCGGATCGGAGGGGAAGAATCCATGGGCGCGCCTCCCCGTGCGGAGGCGATCGCAAGCGAGGGCCAGAAGTGAGGAGCGAGCACTCGGGATTCCCGCGAACCGTATTCGCCTTCTTCTCTAGCGCGCGCGGGGACGGGCCGATGCGCCCGGCCAACTTGCGCGCGAGACGAGGGCGCCCCACGCGAGGGCGGCAGCAGCGGCAACCCAAATTCGAATGGCTCGCGGGGGGGGGGGGGGCACTCCGCACATCGGAAGTCCGAGCGTCGATGCGCGCCAACTTGGACACGATGGAATTTGGCTCGAAAGCACCTCTCGACCACAGGGCGATCCCATGCCAGCTAGGAAAGATAAGGGGCCAACTCGCCGACCTCGCTTTTGACCACCCTCGCTCCCAAGAGATACCAAGCGATGCCAAACTACGGCCTGTACTGGTGAGGTCACTTGACGAGGAGGCGCGTGGTGTGACTTGGTTTTGCCTGGAAGCGAAAGCGGGGTAGGTAACTCACGCCCTGAGATCTTGAACCTGTGCAAGGACGGGTCTGCCTCAGACAGGCCGTGCGCGAAACGCTCCTGGACCCACGGGTGGTCGCGGGCCAACAGCGGAAAAGCGACGCAAATGCAGGCCTGCAACTCGAGGTCGGCAATCTGCGTTGACAGCCGGAGCGCGAGCGCAACTGTATAAGTGCAGCGCGCCAGGGAGCATCCGGAACGCGAACGCAATGGAATCCGAGATCGTCGAGTGGCGCGAGCGCAGGCGGCGAAGTACCTGCGCCGCGCGCGGAAGCCCCCGTGGGAACAGGGCGGCAGCTACCGCGGCAATCATTCACTCCGGCGACGCCGCTGGATCGGCCTGGGAGAAGCCGGAAGTGAGAACGGCGGGGGTCGCGGACAGGGCCGAGGCGGCGTCGCGCGCTGAATTCGCGGCCGATCTCATCAAGACCAACAATGTTGCAGAAGAAAGTACGTCCTGGGATGACAATGATGATGCTCCGTTGGGACGGCGGCGCAAGATGTTGCAGCGCGCGAGACATGGTTCGATGGGGGGCATCTGCGGCCGCGTGGCTGCGCGCATTCTGGAAGCCAGGATGACACGTGCTTCCCGCATTTCGAAGAAGCGCATCTCCCTAGCTCGTCAGACACCGCAAGGGTTGGTTCGGGGATGGGGACCAGAAGGGGACGGCGCAGAGCCCCCAGGAAACGAAGTACCGCGGAAGACCGAGAGAAGACCTCGCGGACAACTGCTGCCACTCACCGCGCCGTCAGCGCGCGAACGGAGGACCATCGGGGCCGTGGGCGGAATTCCCCACGCGAGCGAGATGGGAGTCGATCCACCTGCGACCAGGCGGAGAAAGGGGGCGAGAGTCGCGGGGGCGGTCAGCGAAGTGGCGGGCGCAGGCAGGAGCGCTGCCAGGCCTCCTGCGAGCTTCCCCGGCAGTTGGGCCCCATAAGTCATTGAGCTCGGCCGTCGCCCCATCGGGGGGCGAAGGTGGAACCGCCGAGACCCCCCTCCCGAGTCAGCCGAAACCCCGGCTAGAGACTTGCGTCTACCCACGACGGCCCACCATCGAGCGCGTCGATCAGACGCCTGGTTCCACGCGAAAATCCGAGACTGCTGGGCGGGGCGGGTCTCGCGGGCCGTCGCCGCCTTTGGCCGGCGTTCATGGGCGCCGTGCTCTTGCGCTTGGAGGGGGAAGTGGAGGTCGCGGAACCGAGAAGAGTCAGAGAAAGCGAAGGCCGCGCCGCCTTCCCGGGAGAGCCCGCGCCCGGCTGCGCCCGGCGAGCAGAGCGCGGGCCACGCGGCAGTCACGGCGACTGGCCGCGCGAGCAACCGATCGGGGGACCACGGCGCGGGGCGCCATCACAATCGGGAAACGTTCGAGCTGCAGGTCGTGCGCAGCCCGCGCTGCAGCTCGTCATCGACGACCGCGCAGAAAAAATCGATGAGCCGCTCGTCATCGACGACCAGGAGGACAAAAAGGGAGCCAGACACGACGCGACGAGGGGGAGGTCGAGGACACTGCGGCGGCCAATCGCGCGAACTAAGGCAGGGGCGCGGCCCGATACCCCAACTGGGCACACCTCATGAGGCCCCCGAAGACAACGCGCCCGTTGAAAACCCTGGCACGTGATCCGGTGAGGCGAGCCCGAGAATGTTCGATCGACTGTCGGCGCCGCTGAGGTCCCAGGGCGCCCGTGCGCGGGGCTCTCGACAATGAGATCCACGAGCGCTCTCCAGACGCTCTTCCAGCTCGGGCCCCCTGGGCGGGGCATCCGTTGCGACCGGGAACCGATTGAAAAATCGCACTGCCGAAGCACGCCCAAACGGAGAGGCCCCACCTCGGACCACGTCGCTCTGCCGAAAACAGCATTCACAAACTACGCTGCAGAAGGCTGTGTGCACGGGGGGGGAGCTCGGAATGCCGCGCCGTTCAATGGGGCGGCTTGACAGATGCACTCCGCAGCTGAAAGTGCAGCGCGCGCCATGGGCCCACAGCATCCTCGAAAACTTCGCGGGCCAAGGCGCCGGACAGACGCGGGGCCAACGCGGCGACGCCACCGCACTTCGAACCAGCAGTATACGACGCAATAGTTGCATGCCCGATGCGAGCCTGGAAGTGGAGCTCCATCAGTTCAGCGAGATCCCCATGAGTGCCCCGCAGCGCGGCAATATCGACGGATTTCTACATCTCGCTGGGCAACCTGAGACGACGACGACGGCCCTGCAGCGCCATCGCGATAGCAAATGGCCCTGCAGTTCAAGCTCAATGACTCCACCGAAGCGCAGCCGAGGAAGGTATTGCCCCGACCGCGGGGCCTCGCGCTTCTTGAACCTGCGGGGGGGCCAGGTTCACAAGACCCGCGACCGCAACGCAATTCTTGTCCCAGAAGGCCGTGGGGGGCAACGAAGGCGACGCGCGGATCCGCGCCAGCGGCTACCACTGGTTGGCGATGGCGCCAGCCTCTCGGTCGATGAAGAGCTTGTGGGGGAGCGCGATGACGGCCTCGACAGGGGCCCGCATCGGCCGGCAAACGCGCGCGCGATGACGACGAATTTGATCTTGAATGTTCCGACCAGCAGGACAGTCGCCTCGACGTAAACTAGCATGCGCAAATCGAACTGCTTGCCCACTTGAGCGCCTTCCAGGCGGCCCTCTTGCCCCAGAGCATATCCCGCGTCAGTGGCCCACGGCTGGATGCTCTTTAAGACCTGCGACGCAGCGGCCTCTTCCGCGGCATTAATCATGAGAACCGATGTTGTCGGGCGTCTGCAGTCGTCTGTGAGTGCAGGAGGTCTGTCAGCTGGTCGAGATATGGCCAGGTCAGACTCTTCGTCTAACTTGGCAAGCCGAGCCAACAAGTGCTTGGACTTCTGGGTGGCCTTCGCGTCGAACATCGCAGACAAAGGGAACCAAGGCGGACTGCACCGCCGCCACATGAGGTAACTTCAAAGCAACCTCGCACACACTCGAGACATTTCCGCCATGCGCCTGTCTTGAAGGTATGTGACGGAAGCGTTGTGTACCTCCACCGACGGCTGGCGCACGATCGAAGTCGCCCACAGGTCCAGACCTAAACTTGGGCCTGTCGCGCGAGATGGGTAAGTGCGGAACCAGCGGGCATTCCCCAGCACCATGAGTTCCCGAACGAGCCCCACGAGTGGTCAGAAAGAACCCAAGCCACACGCGCGCCAAGGGGCATGAGTGCCAGTACGGGCGCGAATTCCATAACATGTAGCATCGTCCGTCGGAATATATGTTCACATGTGCGTTCGTCTCGGAATGGAAAGGCAAAGGCAGGGTACGGGCGGCGAGAAAGGCCTTCTGGAACGCGGGACACATGACGTCGCCATCTGCTTCAGCCCAGCCAGACCGTCCACGCCTCCGCACGTCGCTGGGGGAGCGCGAGCCGCGTTCAATCCTGGACCGCTGGCCTGGGGTAGCAGCTTCGTCGCGACCTTCCTGTCTCGCAAGCTCACCAGGTCGCGGGGTGCCAACGGGGGTCGAGATCTCGGACATAAGACCAACACTGTCATCACGACGACGACGAGGCCTCCCAGGGGTGCATGTCAGTGTCCTCGCGCTCGGGCTTGTTATTTTTTGTCCTTCGTATCTTCCTTGTCGCCAGCCATGCCGTCGTGTGAGACGCTGACCCTCCCAGGAGCTCGAAGTGCCTCAGTTGACCCAGCAGGGCCGAAGCCGAGAAAACTGTGGTGGAAGAGACTCCTGCGCTGGAAAGACTGCGAGTCTCCGCTCTGTCCCAAGGGGAATTTGACATTTTGAACCAAAATGGCTACGTAGGAGGACGAAGAGGAGGAGGAGGAGGAGGAGTAGGAGGAGGAGGAACAGCAGCAGGAGGAGGAGGAGGAGGAGGAGAGAGCAGGCGGAGGAGGAGTCGAAGGAGGATGAGAGGCACGAAAACAATTGTTATGCCAATTCTGGCAAATTGATGGGGGCAACTCGCGCGCCCACGACGTGAGACTCGCCCATCCCCGTGCTCGTGGCGACAGCGGCGTCGACCGGAGAGGTCCGCTGCAAGAGCCTGGGGGAACAGAACATACGTCCACCGGTACCCCTGCTCCACAAACGCAAATATTCGACGATATGGTGCTGTCAATCCGTGAGGCTGTTGTGAGAGTTGATATTTTCCGGCCCTGGCCATCAGAAGCGGCTCCGAGCAAAACAAATTGCACAAGGAAAGGGGCCGGGACGCCTGAGGCCGCTCTTTCAAAACATCGTGTCGTCGGATGTCTGGGTCTGCTCCGCGGACCTGTCCTCTGCGCGCTTGAGGTCTGGCCAGGCACGCCGAAGCGAATCCGGCAAAGGCGACGGGACCCCCCCCCCGCGACCCCGAAACGGCTTGACGAGGAGAGGGCATCAAAATCCATACGGCGAGTGGCTCCGGGCGCCCTGAGGCTCCACAAACTGAGGAGGAGGAGGAGGAGGAGGAGGAGGAGGAGGAGGGAGGAGGAGGAGGAGGAGGAGGAGGAGGAGGAGGAGGAGGAGGATGCGATCTTGACTTCCGCCAGCTTCCGCGGGCCCTCCGCCTGAGGGGCCGCCTTCCTTTGTTGCTTCCGCCGGCTTCCGGTGGCCCTCCGCCGAGGAGGAGCTGCTGCGCCATCTCCCTCTCCACTTCTGGGAGGCGAGGCCCTCCCTGGAATGCACCATTGAAGGGGCCCTGTGACACACAAAGAAATACACACAAATCACAGATTCCCCACATGTTCCGATATTTTCTGGGGTCTTGTCTTCCCCCCCACTTCCCATGCTTTCCCATATTTTTGGGGGAATCGACGATTAATTGTGTCCGTGTATTTTTTTCCCTCCTGAACCATGTGCTCCTTCCTCGAGCAGGGCGAGTTGTTAGCATGGGGGAGTGGGTCCTGGACCCTAAGGCCTTCCCCCAAGCGAGCGAAATTCATCCTGGGTCGTTTTCTAACAGCCCTGGCGCCCGTGGAGGGCTCCGGGGTACCGGAAAACGGCGACTCGAGCAGGGCGAGTTGAGACAAAGGCAGCTCAACATCTTAGCTGCCCCGATACGCAGCACAGGACACGTAGAGTATTGATACGAAGCTCAATACCTAGATTGAACACGTAGGTCTGACGCGATGCGTTCGCCAAAAGGTGGGGCCAATACGCTGAGCCAACACAATGTATTGACATAGGCGTTTTGAGACCGGTGCGTGCTGCGTCCTACAACTCGAGTAACCGATCGATTGCAAAATGCATTTACCCAAAAATTGATTTGCTCATCGAACCCATGGGAATGATACTGAACATAGTCAGTACATCTACGAAGCATTACAGGAATGTTTCGTAGTCGAGAGGAAGTGAACCAACTATGTGGCCGATCCCCTACTCGAGAGAACGGGCGTATCGAGGCAGCCAAGCTCCCACGAGCCCAAACGCACCAGCTCCCCGAGCCAACCCCCGCCGTGGCGACTGGGACTCCCTCCGAAGGGCCGGAACCGTCTGCACGGAGGAAGAACGCCCAGCATACACATATAGTCGATGTGCTACCAGAAGGAACCCCAAGTAAAGAACATAACCCCGTTTCTGTAGAAGGCAACACCTGGGAGGTCTTGGTCGGAAGTACGAGGGAGAATTAAGCTCCATTGGGGGGCTGCTAAGCCGAATTCGGCCGCCGATGACGCGGGATCAAGCCGGATTCAACGGGATAGAAAACGGATAGAGCGGGACCCAGCTGGATCAATCCGGATTTCGGACCAGTGCAAAGTCAGCATCTGCCCTCCAAGGATTTGCATCCGAATCGCGGTGCTACCAGAAGGAAGGCAAAATAGGGAACGAAGCCCCTCACTGGCCCGAGAAGCGCCCCGGCGCACGAGGAGTGATCGGGGAACAGCAATGGAGGAGCTCAAGGAGCAGCGGGCCCCTTCCCGAACCCGAGGCGGTCCTTCAGCCAGCGCCTGGACTGTAAGCTCGCTCTCGGAGCTCCGCGCGGATGTCTTGGACCCGCGCTGAGAGCCCCCCCCTGGCGCGCAGAGCGCTCCCGGGGCGGCTCCAGAGTGGCCGCCGGGGGGCCCCGGCGCGGACTGACTCGAGCACTCCTCGCGGAGCTCCGACAGTTTATGGTCGTGCGGTTTTTGTGTTTTTTCCATGCGGCCACTTACACCGAAGAGTGTGAAGGGGCCCTGGGGTACAGGACACAAATAGCAGGCATCCCCATGTTTTCCCGTATGTTCGGGGTCTTTGTCTTCCCCCCCACTTCCCATATCTTCCAATCTTTTCCTGGGAGTCGACGATTACTTGTGCCTGTGTGTTTCCTCCCCCCCCCCCCCGAGAGGGGCCCTATAGGTCCGAGTCGCCTCTCGGGCGCGGCTCGAAGG